GGTATGACTTAAAGATTGCTGTACACCAGCGGACCCCATCCAACTTGAAGGAGCTGGAGCAGTGGCTAGATGTGCCAAGCTTATAGAGACATACCCCAAAAGACTTGCAGCTGTAATTGCTGCAAAAGGTGTATCTACAAAGTATTGACTTTGTGGAAGTGAATAGTTATGCACGCTCAAGTTTTCAGTTTTTTAGTCTTATTTCTTGATTGTTTCACAAGAAAACATATTTTGCATCTTCAAAGTGGTAGGCATGTTGTGTAAATCAAATGATACCTACCCCCCCCCAAAAATCAATTTTAATTCCAGGTTGTAAGGCAACAAAATAGGAAAAATGCCAAGGGGGGTGAATACTTTCGCAAGCCACTGTAGCCCTTACATAGCCTGGAGGTGTGTTGGGTCATTGTCCTGTTGAAAAACAAAAATGATAGTTCCACTGAGCCCAAACCAGATGGGATGGCGTATCGCTGCAGAATGCTGTGGTAGCCATGCTGGTAAAGTGTGCCTTGAATTCTAAATAAATCACAGACAGTATCACCAGCAAAGCACCCCCACACAATAACTCCTCCTCCACCATGCTTTACGGTGGGAAATACACATGCAGGGTTCATCCGTTCTCACAAAGACACAGCGGTTGGAACCAAAAATCTCAAATTTGGACAAATTTCCACCGGTCTAATGTCCATTGCTCGTGTTTCTTGGCCCAAGCAAGTTTCTTTCTTTTTATTGGTGTCCTTTGCTAGTGGTTTCTTTGCAGCAATTCGACCATGAAGGCCTGATTCACACAGTCTCAACTGAACAGTTGATGTTGAGATGTGTCTGTTACTTGAACTCTGTGAAGCATTTATTTGGGCTGCAATTTCTGAGGCTGGTAACACTAATGAACTTCATCCTCTGCAGCAGAGGTAACTCTGAGTCTTCCATTCCTGTGGCGGTCCTCATGAGAGCCAGTTTCATCATAGCGCTTGATGGTTTTTGCGACTGCACTTGAAGAAACGTTCAAAGTTCTTGAAATTTTCCGGATTGACTGCCTAAAGTAATGATGGACTGTCGTTTCTCTTTGCTTATTTGAGCTGTTCTTGCCATAATATGGACTTGGTCTTTTACCAAATAGGCCTATCTTCTGTATACCCCCTCTACCTTGTCACAACACAACTGATTGGAAAGAAGGAAAGAAATTCCACAAATTAACTTTTACGAAGGCACATCTGTTAATTGAAATGCATTCCAGGTGACTACCTCATGAAGCTGGTTGAGAGAATGCCAAGAGTGTGCAAAGCTGTCATCAAGGCAAAGGGTGGCTACTTTGAAGAATCTCAAATATAAAATATATTTTGATTTGTTTAACACTTTTTTGGTTACTACATGATTCCATATGTGTTATTTCATAGTTTTGATGTCTTCACTATTATTCTACAATGTAGAAAATAGTAAAAATAAAGAAAAACCCTTGAATGAGTAGGTGTTCTAAAACTTTTAACCGGTAGTGTGTATATACAGTGGGGAGAACAAGTATTTGATACACTGCCGATTTGTCAGGTTTTCCTACTTACAAAGCATGTAGAGGTCTGTAATTTTTATCATAGGTACACTTCAACTGTGAGAGACGGAAACTAAAACAAAAATCCAGAAAATCACATTGTATGATTTTTAAGTAATTAATTTGCATTTTATTGCATGACATAAGTATTTGATCACCTACCTACCAGTAAGAATTCCGGCTCTCACAGACCTGTTAGTTTTTCTTTAAGAAGCCCTCCTGTTCTCCAGTCATTACCTGTATTAACTGCACCTGTTTGAACTCGTTACCTGTATAAAAGACACCTGTCCACACACTCAATCAAACAGACTCCAACCTCTCCACAATGACCAAGACCAGAGAGCTGTGTAAGGACATCAGGGATAAAATTGTAGACCTGCACAAGGCTGGGATGGGCTACAGGAAAATAGGCAAGCAGCTTGGTGAGAAGGCAACAACTGTTGGCGCAATTATTAGAAAATGGAAGAAGTTCAAGATGACGGTCAATCACCCTCGGTCTGGGGCTCCATGCAAGATCTCACCTCGTGGGGCATCAATGATCATGAGGAAGGTGAGGGATCAGCCCAGAACTACGCGGCAGGACCTGGTCAATGACCTGAAGAGAGCTGGGACCACAGTCTCAAAGAAAACCATTAGTAACACACTACGCCGTCATGGATTAAAATCCTGCAGCGCACGCAAGGTCCCCCTGCTCAAGCCAGCGCATGTCCAGACCCGTCTGAAGTTTGCCAATGACCATCTGGATGATCCAGAGGAGGAATGGGAGAAGGTCATGTGGTCTGATGAGACAAAAATAGAGCTTTTTGGTCTAAACTCCACTCGCCGTGTTTGGAGGAAGAAGAAGGATGAGTACAACCCCAAGAACATCATCCCAACCGTGAAGCATGGAGGTGGAAACATCATTCTTTGGGGATGCTTTTCTGAAAAGGGGACAGGACGCTTGCACCGTATTGAGGGGAGGATGGATGGGGCCATGTATCACGAGATCTTGGCCAACAACCTCCTTCCCTCAGTAAGAGCATTGAAGATGGGTCATGGCTGGTTCTTCCAGCATGACAATGACCCGAAACACACAGCCAGGGCAACTAAGGAGTGGCTCCGTAAGAAGCATCTCAAGGTCCTGGAGTGGCCTAGCCAGTCTCCAGACCTGAACCCAATAGAAAATCTTTGGAGGGAGCTGAAAGTCCGTATTGCCCAGCGACAGCCACGAAACCTGAAGGATCTGGAGAAGGTCTGTATGGAGGAGTGGGCCAAAATCCCTGCTGCAGTGTGTGCAAATCTGGTCAAGACCTACAGAAAACGTATGATCTTTGTAATTGCAAAAAAGGTTCCTGTACCAAATATTAAGTTCTGCTTTTCTGATGTATCAAATACTTATGTCATGCAATAAAATGCATAATAAAAATCATACAATGTGATTTTCTGGATTTTTGTTTTAGATTCCATCTCTCACAGTTGAAGTGTATCTATGATAAAAATTACAGACCTCTACATGCTTTGTAAGTAGGAAAACCTGCAAAATCGGCAGTGTATCAAATACTTGTTTTCCCCACTGTATATATATATTTAAGGAACTCAGTCCGGCTTTCAACTTACTCTTGAAAGTTGTACCCTACTGTACTGTAATGTATTGTACTGAACTGAACTCTACTCTAATCTGCTCTACTGTACTGTGCTGTCCTGTACTTTACTGTGTTCTACTGTGAACTACTGTGCTATCCAAACTTGTGAACATACACGTCTATAATTGGTCCGGCTCGGACCAACCAAATTTGGTCTTGTTTGGAGGCGGAGCTCATTAGAATAATAGCCAGTGTGTAGAATAATACCCAAACATGCAAAGGAGGCTATTCAATTTTCCTACCTTTCCTATTCAGGATACATCACCATGAAGAGAATGACATTCCTAATTATGCATTTCTGTTTAGTACAGATCAGGGACCCATGATGTCATTATTTTACTATCATTCTGTTACTGGGTGTTAATCCACTTCACTTAGGCTTAGATTAAATCAGATGAAGTGTTAACTGGCGATAGCAGAAACCCACATTGAGGATGTTTTGGCGGTCTTAGAGGTGGAACTGCTTTGGAGCTGTCAAATCATTGAGCAGCTGCTCTTGCGATCATTGTCACGAAGCCACACCCGCCCCACCCGTTAGAAGTTCAGAGCGAGAAAGTGTAGGCTATATAGAAATAATAGAAAAATCATTAAATGAAATAATGAGGATTTCTATCATCCTAATGGAGATTATCTCTCACATTCCAGTGTTCGAACATCTAAACAAGGCTGCATGGAGTTTCTCGTAATGCGACTGTGCAGCCAATGGCAATGTCCACTTTTAGTATAATGACACGAGCCGCTTGTGGATTTGACAGCTCTAATACAGTTCCACCTCCAACACCGCCAAAACAACCGCTATGCGGATGCCGACTAAGGCGTATCTGATTGAATAGAGCCCTTACTATAGTTCAATAACCAAAATAAATGTTTTCAAACTCAAGGTGTCATATCATAGCTGACACCTCATTCTTTCTGCAGACATCTTTGAATCTTAATTCGGAGTAGATATTTAAGAGTTTTTGGAAAACGTGGTCACATTAAATACTGATGGAGATTTTACCGTCATTCTGTTACCAATCTTTACATCTGCACAGTTCTTCAAAAAATTTAACATTTTCTGTGGAAATTATTAAAAGTAGTCCTTGTGCGTACAGTTGTATGGTTTGTTTAACTTTGCAATCAATCGTTTTTGTTTGGAATAATTTTAAAGTAAAAGATCGGAGTCTCAGTGTCATTCTGTTACAGTGGAATTGCCCAACTGCACCTTAGTATTTACTTCATGTGCATCTGCAATTATTTCTAGGGGACCACAGTATTAATTATTTTATAACCAGTATGTTATACCCCATGAGGTTCCGGTTAAACTGTTACACAAAGCCTTAGATCATCTGAATTATAAATATTGCACATAATCGCAGTGCATAATCTGGAAATTGGATTAAATTATTCACCATGCCTCCAATTAGTCTATTCCTCAAACTAGAGTTGCGTTCATAGATCACCAAGGGGGATCCCTGAATCTGAAATTTACTGTTGCAAATTAGTAGAAAAATAGACGTGGAAGCCATCATTTTAATGCTGTTAAGGAATTCATCATATACCATAATGCCCACAAAGTTACTTAACATTGGAATTTGGAGAAACATTTTATCAGTCCTACAGTACATGTGATTGTAGATGTTCTAGAGACAATCATGATAAACAACTGTTCCGAAACTTTAAACAGAGGCATTAAAACTCTAAAGTGACGATTTCCAGCTTGGAGATACCCAGGTAGTGGAGGAAGTCCTTTAATAATCATAATAATAATAATAATCAGTAAACAGGAAGACCTGGCAAGAGGAGATAAGATGCTCTGCAGCCCAAATCAAACTGGAGTGGAAAAACTGCAGGGAAAAAAGGAGTGGGGGAGGGAGGTGGGACGGTGAAGGGGGTGGGGGGGAGCATCAGCCATGCAGAATAATAGACTACACCTCATCTCATCATCATGAAGTTTGGACAGTTTCTTTTTTTTAACAGTTAGTCCATCGTCAGATATGTTTGTGAGTTAAGCGAATAGCAATTGTTGTGCCCATTTGTTTTCAGCAATGAGACATTAGCTTGCTGTGTATGTTGCTGGTGTGAGCAGAGTTCATACATGTACGGTAATAGGACATAGCTGAACGGCAGTCCATTGCTGTGGCTTTGTGGGTAGCGATCAGTATTTAAGGGGATTGGGGCAGTAGGGGTAGGGTGGATAGTGGAGGGTTTTGGGGATAAAAGTCAGTAGCTGGGCTATCATACAGTGAGCCTCACTCAGGATAAGACATCGGCGACCACTTAAGACTCCATTGTACGTAACTTAATTGTACTTCAGAACATGTCCATATACCTGATCTGATTTCGTTTGTCCATCTACTGTACTTTATCTGCTATTTACCAGGTCCTTACTTCACCATATTATACATGAATCCAGTTCTTCTTAAGGAAGCCTTGTTTACATCGGTGTCCCTATATAAATCACTGAATTCAAAGTGCCACGTTTTTCCTCTATGTACAGTACACCCGTCCTTGGCGGTATCGCCTGTCTGTCTTTAGTCCTCCCAACTCACATTGTGTATGCCACCCAGTAGATCACATTGACGATGGCGAAGGTGGCTGGGAACACGGCCCTGGCATAGACATCTATGGTGTCGGCTTGGAGTGGCTTGCAATCGCAACAGCACTTGGAACAGCAACTACAGCACTTCTTCTCCTGTTCTCTCTCTTCTGACGCTCTAGCCCTCCACCCCCTCCTGTGCTCCACGTCCTCCTCGCCGGGGGTATCGGCACCGGAATGCTGCGGACGGCGGCTGGAGACCATCAGGCCCTGGTTCATTCCGGCCACAGACAAGGAAAAGAGCACCATGGCCTGCTTCCCATTTTTCACGATGGACTGGAGAAATATCAATAGAGAAAGGCTACAAGTCAATTCCTTTGTGAACAATCTTTACCTCACACCAAAGGAACCCAAAGGAAAGCCTGCAGGTTAAGAATTCAAGTGCTTTCAGGTTCTTACAAAAACAATTGCACCTATTGTGTCAACCCAATGTCCTTTGAACACTGTGTGAACATTGAATGAATGTTGTGGTACCAATGGGTCAAATGAGGAACGGGCCCAGCACTAAACCTTGGGGAACACCATGGTTGGGGGAGCATTGTCCTCCCTTCTTACCTCGGAGCTCATCTTGTTGGCCTTGCTCTTGGCTTTCTCTTTGAGCCTGTAGTCGGCGTTGTAGTGAGCGAAGGCGTACTCGATGAGCGCTGCGAACACAAACACGTAGCAGATCCAGAAGTAGACATCCAGCGCTTTGATGGCGGAGGCTCGAGGGAGAGATGAGCGGGCGCTCACCATCAGAGTGGTCATGGTGAGCACAGTGGTGATCCCTTTACCAAAATATATATGGAAATTAAATATTTGTTTTGAATAGAAAAGAGGTCCAGACTCAATCTTTGCAGTGAAACAAAGTGAAATCAATTCCATCTTGTTTAATTTATTTTACTGCAAAGATAGAGTACAGAGCTTCCTCTTTTTTCTATTCATTACGGATTACTTTTTGCTCTACGCACCACAAACAACCTAAGATAGGAATCTACAACTAGAACTGTAATGACGGTTTCACATTTTTCATTAATCAAATATGTTGTCATGTTTATCACATAACTATGAATATACGTCTCAATGATGATGCACTTTATTTTCCACAAATTCTAGGGCAACATATATTTTAAATATACACAGACATATTCAGTTCACTTTGAATTCTTCTTGCTGTCTCATTGAATCTGTGTTTTCTTAACACTCATACAGTACCTCTACTAACATACGGCAAATGGCCGCATTCCAGGCCAACTAGATTGCAGACTACGCCACCAATACACAGGAGGTTGGTGACACCTTAATTGGAGAGAACGGGCTTGTGGTAAGGCGTTGGTATCATGAGAGAATGGCACCGGAGGAGACGGAGGAGATGGCTGCCGTTTTACGGCCCCCTAACCAATTGTGCTATTATGTGTGTTTTTTGGCATTATTTGACATTTATTCTGTACATAATGTTTCTGCCACCGTCTCTTATGACCAAAAAGAGCTCCTGGATATCAGGACAGCGATTACTCACCTCGTATTGGGCAAATATTTTTTCTTCAATGAGTCGGATGCGAAGGATATTCTACAGACACCCAACAAGACCCATAGCCCTGTCATTCGCATGAGAAAGAGACAGCGATATTGTGGACGTAGGTCGGGGTGCCTTGTAAGGATCTGACGGCGAGCGAGTAATCTGCCTCTTCCATTAGTCCTATTAGCCAACGTACAATCATTGGAAAACAAAATGGACGACCTACGATCACGGATATCCTACCAACGGGACATTAAAAACTGTAATATCTTATGTTTCACCGAGTCGTGGCTGAACGACGACATGGATAACATACAGCTGGTGGGATATACGCTACATCGGCAGGATAGAACGGCTGACTCAGGTAAGACAAGGGGTGGCTGTCTGTGTATATTTGTAAACAACAGCTGGTGCACGAAATCTAATATTAAGGAAGTCTCTAGGTTTTGCTCGCCTGAGGTAGAGTATCTCATAATGTAGACCACACTATTTACCAAGAGAGTCTTCGTCTATATTTTTTGTAGCTGTCTATTTACCACCACAAACCGATGCTGGCACTAAGACTGCACTCAATGAGCTGTATAAGGCCATAAGCGAACAGGAAAATGCTCATCCAGAGGCAGCGCTCCTAGTGGCCTGGGACTTTAATGCAGGGAAACTTAAATCCGTTCTACCTCATTTCTACCAGCATGTTAAATGTGCAACCAGAGGAAAATAAACTGTAGACCCCCTTTACTCCACACACAGAGACGAGTACAAAGCTCTCCCTCGCCCTCCATTTGGCAAATCTGACCATAACGTCATCCTCCTGCTTCCTGCTTATAAGCAAAAACTAAAGCAGGAAGCACCAGTGACTCGGTTAATAAGGAAGTGGTCAGATGACGCAGATGCTAAGCTACAGGACTGTTTTGCTAGCACAGACTGGAATATGTTCCGGGATTCTTCCGATGGCATTGAGGAGTACACCACATCAGTCACTGGCTTCATCAATAAGTGCATCGATGACGTCGTCCCCACAGTGACCGTACGTACATACCCCAACCAGAAGCCATAGATTACAGGCAACATCCGCACTGAGCTAAAGGGTAGAGCTGCCGCTTTCAAAGAGCGGGACTCTAACCTGGATGCTTATAAGAAATCCTGCTATGCTCTCCGACGAACCATCAAACAGGCAAATAGTCAATACAGGACTAAGATTGAATCATACTACACCGGCTCCGAAGCTCGTCGGATGTGGCAGGGGTTGCAAACTATTACAGGCTACAAAGGGAAGCACAGCCGTGAGCTGCCCAGTGACACGAGCCTACCTGATGAGATAAATCACTTCTATGCTCGCTTCGAGGAAAGCAACACTGAAGCATGCAGGAGAGCATCAGCTGTTCCAGATGACTATGTGATCACGCTCTCCATGGGCCAATGAGAGTAAGACTTTTAAGCAGGTCAACATTCACAAGGCCGCAGTGCCAGACAGATAACCAGGAAGCGTACTCCAAGCATGTGCTGACCAACTGGCAAGTGTCTTCACTGACATTTTCAACATGTCCCTGACTGAGTCTGTAATACCTACATGTTTCAAGCAGACCACCATAGTCCCTGTTCCCAAGAACACTAAGATAACCTGCCTAAATGACTACCGACCCGTAGCACTCACGTCTGTAGCCATGAAGTGCTTTGAAAGGCTGGTCACGGCTCACATCAACACCATTATCCCAGAAACCATAGACCCACTCCAATTTGCATACCGCCCCAACAGATCCACAGATGATGCAATCTCTGTTGCACTCCACACTGCCCTTTCCCACCTGGACAAGAGGAACACCTACGTGAGAATGCTATTCATTTACTACAGCTCAGCGTTCAACACCATAGTGCCCTCAAAGCTCATCGCTAAGCTAAGGACCCTGGGACTAAACACCTCCCTCTGCAACTGGATCCTGGACTTCCTGACGGGCTGCCCCCAGGTGGTAAGGGTAGGTAACAACACATCTGCCACGCTGATCCTCAACACGGGGGCCCCTCAGGGGTGCATGCTCAGTCCCCTCCTGTACTCCCTGTTCACCCATGACTGCATGGCCAGGCACGACTCCAACACCATCATTAAGTTTGCCGAAAACACAACAGTGGTAGGCCTGATCACCGACAACGATGAGACAGCCTACAGGGAGGTGGTCAGAGACCTGGGCATGTGGTGCCAGGATAACAACCTCTCCCTCAAAGTGATCAAGAAAAAGGAGATGATTGTGGACTACAGGAAAAAAAAGGGGACTGAGCACGCCCCCATTCTCATCGACAGGGCTGTAGTGGAACAGGCTGAGAGCTTCAAGTTCCTTGGTGTCCACATCACCAACAAACTATCATGGTCCAAACACACCAAGACAGTCGTGAAGAGGGCACGACAAAGTCTATTCCTCCTCAGGAGACTGAAAAGATTTCGCATGGGTCCTCAGATCCTCAAAAAGTTATACAGCTGCACCATTCGAGAGTATCCTGATTGGTTGCATCACTGCCTGGTATGGCAACTGCTCGGCCTCCGACCACAAGGCACTACAGAGGGTAGTGCGTACGGCCCAGTACATAATTGGGGCCAAGCTTCCTGCCATCCCGGACCTCTATAACAGGCGGTGTTAGAGGTAGGCCCTAAAAATTGTCAAAGACTCCAGCCACTCTAGTCATAGACTGTTCTCTTTGCTACCGCAAGGCAAGCGGTACCGGAGTGCCAAGTCTAGGTCCAAAAGGCTTCTTAACAGCTTCTACCCCCAAGCCATAAGACTCTTGAACAGCTAATCATGGCTACCCTGACTATTTGCACATTTGCACCCCCTCTTTTACGCTGCTGCTACTCTCTCTTTATTACCTATGCATAGTGCCTTTAACTCTACCCACATGTACATATTACCTCAATTACCTCGACTAACCTGTGCCCCCGTACATTGACTCTGTACCAGTACCCCCTGTATATAGCCTCCCTACTGTTATTTTATTTTACTGCTGCTCTTTAATTGTTTGTTATTTGTTATTTTTTACTTATTTCGTTTTTACTTAACCCTTTTTTTTCTTAAAACTGCATTGTTGGTTAAGGGCTTGTAAGTAAGCATTTCGCTGTAAGGTCTACACCTGTTGTATTTGGCGCATGTGGCAAATACATTTTTATTTGATTTGACTGGAGCGGAGTCAGTGGAATGGTATTAAATACATCAAACACATGGTTTCCAGGTGTTTGATGCCATTCCATTTGCTCCGTTCCGGCCATTATTATGAGCCGTTCTCCCCTCAGTAGCCTTTACTGCACCAAGATCACTAACAGAATACTCTTCTTTTTTTTTTTATCTGGGGGTAGATCAGCTTAATATTGCAGATAGATTGTAACTTCTATCAATGTAATTGTCTGCATCACTTCCAATCCCCCATGTTTTTTATATATATACTCCCCTTTATTACTTTTCAACCCCGCCATCCTTTCCCTACTTGGGGTAAATTAGTGAACAACAATGCCCAGGCCTCTACTTCCAGCCTATACTTACTATCTACACCTTATGGACACAGTCAATTTTACAATAATTCTATTTTATTTGTTTTTTTTGTTTTTGCTCCTGAACTTCTTCTACTCTCAACCTCTCCGATCATTTTCATGATGTCCATCCGGTTTGCTTCTATATGCCATATCTTTCTAACTGTGCTCTTTCCCAAAAGCTCCCAACATACAACCTATATACTTATTATGGACACAGTATGCTTACATTATTAGTTATCTTGTTATTATTTGTTGTTAACAGAATACTCTTAACATGATACTAACCCAGGGATACACGAGCCGGGACTGCTGTTTGGCTTATCCAGAAGGACACCCAGGACATGGCGACCAATAGGATGGAGGGCATGTAGGACTGGATGATGTAGACGCCTCGGTTACGTCTCAGCTGGAAGCGAAGGCTGAGCCGCGGGAAACGTCCGGCTTGGAGTGAAAAAGTAGACCAGTATTAGCTTTTCGATCAATCAGTCAATCAATCAAAATTATTTGTAAAGCCCTTTTTATATCAACAATTGTCACAAAGTCCTACGGTAACCTGACCAAGACCAAGACCCCAAAGAGCAAGTTACAACGAAGAAACCTTGAGAGGAATCAGACTCAGAGGAGGGGGCACATCCTCCTCTGGTTGTACCAGATTTCTCACTTGAAGAAGTCATAACATAGCATCTACTCCCTTCCCTTCATAAGTCTCCTCTCCTAAATAACATGAGCCATTCTGTCTGTGCATAGAAAATACCAACAGAGGTGTCTGCGTTCAAAACATATTAGTTAAACAATTATCTATAGGAATCCTGGGGTCTCTTACATGTTCAAAAGCATGTATCAAAATGGAGAGGCGCTGTACAGTGAAAGAGGCATATTTGAAGAACTCTGTATATAAAAGTGAAGAGGAATCTCACGGACATCCCACTGGCTGTTCAGTACAGTAACCATGGTGATAGTGAAACGAGGATAGAGGTGGGAAAAAAGCTCACCGGATTTGAAGTTCATAGTCTCCGTGACAAATTTGTAGTCGATGATGGTGAACTGGGAGAGCTCCAGTTTGTCCAGTCCGTGGATGTGTATTTGACTCTCAGACCAGTGGTACACAATATCCTCTGAGGAGTAGCCGTCTGGAACAAACAGTCAACAAACAAACAGTCAACTAGCAGTTAACAAACAGTCAACAAACAAACATCCCAACAACAATGGAACATCATTACATTTTCAATGAATGTGTATTGAATTAACCCTAGCCTTGCTTCTGGTACTCACCATACACAATACAGCCTACATGTAGCTCTACAGACACTGGGAGTAAAATGGTTTCCTGTTCTCTCCTGTTTCCTCTATAGAGCAGGGTTGTTCAACTATGTCCCTGCAGGGCCACAGCACTGCAGGTTTTGACCCTTAAGTTTAATAAGGGACTGTTTCAGACTTGGGAGATCAGGTGAGTGAATTACCTGGCCAATCAATGACATTAATAGATCACTGAACTACCAGGGAGAAAAGAAAACCACCTTTCCTTCGAATTGGGAAATAAATAATCATACTGTAGACTATTGAGATCCATCCATTAAGAGTGGTAGGGAACATGACAGACTATTGGTATTGACATCCACCCATCAAGAACAGTGGTACATACACTACAACGTATGTGGACACCTGCTCATCTCATTCTAAAATCATGGGCATTCATATGGAGTTGGTCCCCTCTTTGCTGCTATAACAGCCTCCCCTCTTCTGGGAAGATGTTGGAACATTGCTGCGGGGACTTGCTTCCATTCAGCATAGAATCGTCTAGAATGTCATTGTATGCTGTAGCATTAAGATTTCCCTTCACTGGAACTAAGGGGGCAGACTATTATTCCTCCTCCACCAAACTTTACAGTTGGCACTATGCATTCGGGCAGGTACCGTTCTGCTGGCATCCGCCAAACCCAGATTCATCCATCGGACTGCTAGATGGTCAAGTGTGAATTATCACTCCAGAGAACGCGTTTCCACTGCTCCAAAGTCCAATGGTGGCGAGCTTTACACCACTCCAGCCTACGTTTGACATTGCGCATGGTGCTCTTAGGCTTGTGTGCGGCTGCTCGGCCATGGAAATCCATTTCATCAAGCTCCCGACGAACAGTTCTTGTGCTGACGTTGCTTCCTGAGGCAGTTTGGATTTTCAGCACTCGCCGGTCCCGTTCTGTGAGCTTGTGTGGCCTACCACTTCACAGCTGAGCCGTTTCTGCTCCTAGACATTTCCACTTCACAATAACAGCACTTACAGTTGACCGGGGCAGCTCTAGCAGGGCAGAAATATGAAGAACTGACTTGTTGAAAAGGTGGCATCCTATGACGGTATCACGTTGAAAGTCACTGAGCTCTTCAGTACGGGCCATTCTACTGCCAATGTTTGTCTATGGATATTTCATGGCTGTGTGCTCGATGTTATATACAGTTGAAGTCGGAAGTGTCAGAAGCTGATGTGGATGCGGTGTTGGAGTCAGGCGCAGGACACAGAAGCTTAGTCGAAAACAACTTTAATTGTCACAAAGACAAATACAAAATAACGGGCCTCAAAACACAGGAGGCGAGCGATTACGCAAACAGTGCGTAAAACACTAACAACTAGAAAACAAATAACATTCACCAGCGGACAGGCAGACAACAACACACAACTGCAAACAAAACCAAAGGAAACTTATAGGTGACCTAATCAATACATAATACGAAACAGGTGCACCAACAAGACAAAACCAAACAAACATAGAGAACATCAAGCGGTAGCAGCTAGTACTCCGGGGACGATGAACGCCGAAGCCTGCCCGAACAAGGAAGAGGAGCAGTCTCGGCGGAATTCGTGACAGTACCCCCCCCTTGACGCGCGGCCCCAGCCGTGCGCCGACCCCGGCCTCTGGGACAGCCAGGAGGACGTGGAGCAGGGCACGTAGGATGACTACGGTGGAACTCAGTCAGGAGGGATGGATCTAAAATGTCCCTCCTAGGCACCCAGCACCGTTCCTCCGGACCGTACCCCTCCCACTCCACGAGATATTGTAGACCCCCCATCCGACGTCTCGAATCCACGATGGACCGGACTGAGTACGCTGGAGCCCCCTCGATGTCCAGTGGGGGCGGAGGGGTCTCTCTTATCTCACTCTCCTGGAGTGGACCAGCTACCACCGGCCTGAGGAGAGATACATGGAACGAGGGGTTAATGTGATAGTCATTAGGCAGTTGCAACTTCTAACACACCTCGTTCAATCTCCTCAGGACTTTAAATGGCCCCACAAACCGCCGGCCAAGCTTCCGGCAGGGCAGGCGAAGGGGCAGGTTTCGAGTCGAGAGCCAGACTCGATCTCCAGGGGCGTATACTGGACCCTCACTGCAGTGGAGATCGGCGCTCGCCTTCTGCCTGCAGATGGCCCGCTGCAGATGTACGTGTGCAGCGTTCCACGTCTTCTCCGAGCGCCGAAACCACTCATCCACCGCAGGAGCCTCGATCTGGCTCTGATGCCATGGTGCCAGAACCGGCTGATACCCTAACACGCACTGAAAAGGGGTCAGGTTAGTAGAGGAGTGGCAAAGAGAGTTCTGAGCCATCTCTGCCCAGGGGATATACCCCGACCACTCCTCCGGCCGGCCCTGGCAATAGGATCTCAGAAACCTACCCACATCCTGGTTCACTCTCTCCACCTGCCCGTTACTCTCAGGGTGGTAACCCGAGGTAAGGCTAACCAAGACCCCCAAGCGTTCCATGAACGCCCTCCAGACTCTAGAGGTGAATTGGGGACCCCGATCAGACACTATATCCTCGGGAACCCTGTAGTGCCGGAAGACGTGGGTGAACAAAGCCTCAGCGGTATGTAGGGCAGTAGGGAGACCTGGCATTGGAATGAGACGACAAGCCTTAGAGAACCGATCCACAACGACCAGAATAGTGGTATTCCCCTGAGAGGGGGGAAGGTCCGTGACAAAGTCCACCGAGAGGTGAGACCACAGCCGTTGTGGAACGGGCAGGGGTTGTAACTTCCCCCTGGGCAGGTGTCTAGGCGCCTTACACTGAGCGCACACCGAGCAGGAGGAGACATAAACCCTCACGTCCCTAGCCAAAGTTGGCCACCAGTACTTAACACTAAGGCAGTGCACTGTCCGGCCAATACCTGGATGTCCAGAGGAGGGTGACGTATGAGCCCAATAAATGAGACGATCACGGACCTCGGGCGGCACGTACGTCCGACCCACTGGACACTCTGGGGGAGTAGGGTCGGTGCGTAACGCCCGCTCAATTTCCGCATCGACCTCCCATACCACCGGTGCCACCAGACAAGACTCCGGCAGTATGGGAGTGGGCTCAATGGACCTCTCCTCTGTGTCATACCGCCGGGACAGGGCATCTGCCTTACCGTTCTGGGACCCTGGGATGTAAGTGATCTTAAAAACGAACCGGGTCAGAAACATGTTCCACCTAGCCTGACGAGGGTTCAATCTCCTAGCTGCCCGGATGTACTCCAGGTTACGATGGTCAGTCAGAATGAGAAAAGGGTGTTGAGCCCCCTCAAGCCAATGCCTCTACACCTTTAGGGCTTGAACCACAGCTAACAGCTCCCTGTCCCCTACGTCATAATTACGTTCCGCCGGGCTGAGCTTTTTAGAATAAAAAGCGCAGGGACGGAGCTTAGGAGGCGTGCCGGAGCGTTGCGACAGTACTGCCCCAATACCGGCCTCTGACGCGTCCACCTCTACCTGGAACGCTAAAGCGGGGTCCGGGTGCGCCAGCACCGGAGCCGAAGTGAACAGGTCCTTCAGTTTACAAAACGCCCTGTCCGCTTCGGCCGACCACTGCAAACGCACCGGGCCCCCCTTCAGCAGGGAAGTAATGGGAGCTGCCACCTGTCCAAAACCCCGGATAAACCTCCGGTAGTAATTGGCAAAACCCCAAAACTGCTGCACCTCTTTAACAGTGGTTGGGGTTTGCCAGTTACAGTGGGGGGAAAAAAGTATGTAGTCAGCCACCAATTGTGCAAGTTCTCCCACTTAAAAAGATGAGAGAGGCCACCTACAAACAAGCAAGATTTCTGGCTCTCACAGACCTGTAACATCTTCTTTAAGAGGCTCCTCTATCCTCCACTCGTTACCTGTATTAATGGCACCTGTTTGAACTTGTTATCAGTATAAAAGACACCTGTCCACAACCTCAAACAGTCACACTCCAAACTCCACTATGGCCAAGACCAAAGAGCTGTCAAAGGACACCAGAAACAAAATTGTAGACCTGCACCAGGCTGGGAAGACTGAATCTGCAATAGGTAAGCAGCTTGGTTTGAAGAAATCAACTGTGGGAGCAATTATTAGGAAATGGAAGACATACAAGACCACTGATAATCTCCCTCAATCTGGGGCTCCACGCAAGATCTCACCCCGTGGGGTCAAAATGATCACAAGAACGGTGAGCAAAAATCCCAGAACCACACGGGGGGACCTAGTGAATGACCTGCAGAGAGCAGGGACCAAAGTAACAAAGCCTACCATCAGTAACACACTACGCCGCCAGGGACTCAAATCCTGCAGTGTCAGACGTGTCCCCCTGCTTAAGCCAGTACATGTTCAGGCCTGTCTGAAGTTTGCTAGAGTGCATTTGGATGATCCAGAAGAGGATTGGGAGAAAATCATATGGTCAGATGAAACCAAAATATAACTTTTTGGTAAAAACTCAACTCGTCGTGATTGGAGGACAAAGAATGCTGAGTTGCATCCAAAGAACACCATACCTACTGTGAAGCATGGGGGTGGAAACATCATGCTTTGGGGCTGTTTTTCTACAAAGGGACCAGGACGACTGATCCGTGTAAAGGAAAGAATGAATGGGGCCATGTATCGTGAGATTTTGAGTGAAAACCTCCTTCCATCAGCAAGGGCATTGAAGATGAAACGTGGCTGGGTCTTTCAGCATGACAATGATCCCAAACACACCGCCCGGGCAATGAAGGAGTGGCGTTGTAAGAAGCATTTCAAGGTCCTGGAGTGGCCTAGCCAGTCTCCAGATCTCAACCCCATAGAAAATCTTTGGAGGGAGTTGAAAGTCCGTGTTGCCCAGCGACAGCCCCAAAACATCACTGCTCTAGAGGAGATCTGCATGGAGGAATGGGGCAAAATACCAGCAACAGTGTGTGAAAACCTTGTGAAGACTTACAGAAAACGTTTGACCTGTGTCATTGCCAACAAAGGGTATATAACAAAGTATTGAGAAACTTTTGTTATTGACCAAATACTTATTTTCCACCATAATTTGCAAATAAATTCATTAAAAATCCTACAATGTGATTTTCTGGATTTTTTTTCTCATTTTGTCTGTCATTGTTGATGTGTACCTATGATGTAAATTACAGGCCTCTCTCATATTTTTAAGTGGGAGAACTTGCACAATTGGTGGCTGACTAAAAACTTTTTTTCCCCACTGTACGCATGGCTGACACACGGTCAATCTCCATCTTCACCCCTGACGCGGACAACCGATGACCCAAGAAGGAGATGGACTCCTGGAAAAACAGACATTTCTCTGCCTTGACATACAAGTCATGCTCCAACAGCCTACCCAACACTCGGCGCACCAGGGCTACATGCTCGGCACGTGTAGCAGAGTACACTAGGATGTCGTCAATGTACACTATCACTCCCTGCCCATGCAGGTCCTGGAAGATCTCGTCCACAAATGATTGGAAGACTGAAGGAGCATTCATTAACCCGTATGGCATGACAAGATACTCATAATGACCTGAGGTGGTACTAAATGCCGTCTTCCATTCATCTCCCTCCCTAATGCGCACCAAGTTATAAGCGCTCCTGAGATCCAGTTTTGTGAAGAAACGCGCTCCGCGTAATGATTCTGTCATACTCGCAATCAGAGGAAGAGGGTAACTGTATTTCACAGTGATCTGATTGAGACTACGGTAATCAATACACGGGCGCAACCCTCCATCCTTCTTCTTCACAAAAAAGAAACTCGAGGACGCAGGAGAAGTGGAGGGCCGTATGTATCCTTGTCTCAGGGACTCAGCTATGTATGTCTCCATAGCCGCCGTCTCCTCTTGAGACAGAGGATACACATGGCTCTGCGGGAGTGCCGCACCTGTCTGGAGGTTTATTGCACAATCTCCCTGTCTATGAGGTGGCAATCGCGTCGCCCTCGTCTTGCTGAACACGAGTGCCAAATCCTCATACTCAGGGGGAATGTGCATTGCGGGCACTTGGTTCGGACTCTCCACCGTGGTCGCCCCAACGGAAACACCTAAACATCGCCCAACACACTGGCCAGACCATTCCTTGAGAGCCCTCTGTTGCCACGAAATAGTGGGGTCATGGGTGATTAACCAAGGAAGCCCCAGCACCACGGGATACGCAGGAGAGTCAATTAGGTACAACTGAATAATCTCCTCATGACCCCCCTGCGTCTTCATCTTTAGTGGCGCTGTGACCTCCCTAATCAACTCAGATCCCAACGGGCGGCTATCTAGGGCATGGACAGGAAAGGGTGCATCAACGGGCAGGAGGGGAATCCCTAACTTAGAACAAAATTTCCGATCAATAAAATTCCCAGCTGCGCCTGAATCGACAAGCGCCTTATGCTGGGAATGAGATGCAACCTGAGGAAATACCACAGGTATACACAAGTGAACAACAGAGAGCTCTGGGTGAGTGGGGCGCCTACTCACCTGAAATGACTCCCCAGTGCGCGACCTGTTGCCCCGATTCCCTGGAGACCCTCCCCAGCACCTAGCCGCAGTGTGTCCTCCACGGCCACAGCTGGTGCAGGGGACGGCCCCCCTCGGGTTCTCTCTCCTTCTCTCTCTAGCGCCAGCACCCCCGAGCTCCATAGGGCTCGGCTCGGAGGTGCTGGGGGATGGAATGGACGGCCCCAACTCGGGACGTCCGCGGGTGGCCAGCAGGGTATCCAGACGGATGGACATGTCCACTAGCTGGTCGAAGGACAGATTGGTGTCCCTGCAGGCCAGCTCTCGACGAACGTCCTCACGCAGGCTACACCGATAGTGGTCGATGAGGGCCCTCTCATTCCACCCCGCATCCGCCGCTAGAGTCCGGAAATCCAGGGCGAACTCCTGTGCGCTCCTCTTCCCCTGTCGGAGGTGGAACAGACGCTCCCCCGCCGCTTTACCCTCAGGAGGGTGATCGAAAACAGCCCTGAAGCGGTGGGAGAACTCCGCGTAGCTGATGGTGGCGGCGTCTATTCCCCTCCATTCGGCGTTGGCCCACTCCAACGCCTTGCCGGAGAGACAGGAGATGAGGGCGGAAACGCTCTCGTATCCCGAGGGCGCCGGGTGTATGGTGGCCAGGTAGAGTTCCACCTGAAGGAGGAACCCCTGACACCCGGCTGCGGTGCCATCATACGCCCTCGGGAGCGAGAGCCGAATTCCACTGGATTCCGGAGCTGGTCTGGTGGGGCTGGCCGATGGTGGTGGTAATGTAGGAGGAGGTGTGGGCACGCCTCCCCTTTCCCATCGGCGCAGGGTGTTCATCACCTCCTGCATGGCGGAGCCGAGTTGCTGGATCATGGCGTCCTGGCAGCTGACCCGATCCTCCAGCGACTCGGTCGCCGCCGCTGCTCCTGCTGACTCCATAGTATGGTGTGTTGTTCTGTCAGAAGCTGATGTGGATGCGGTGTTGGAGTCAGGCGCAGGACACAGAAGCTTAGTCGAAAACAACTTTAATTCTCACAAAGACAAATACAAAATAACGGGCCTCAAAACACAGGAGGCGAGCGATTACGCAAACAGTGCGTAAAACACTAACAACTAGAAAACAAATAACATTCACCAGCGGACAGGCGGACAACAACACACAACTGCAAACAAAACCAAAGGAAACTTATAGGTGACCTAATCAATACATAATACGAAACAGGTGCACCAACAAGACAAAACCAAACAAACATAGAGAACATCAAGCGGTAGCAGCTAGTACTCCGGGGACGACGAACGCCGAAGCCTGCCCGAACAAGGAGGAGGAGCAGTCTCGGCGGAATTCGTGACAGGAAGTTTACGTACACCTTAGCCAAATACATTTAAACTCAGTTTTTCACAATTCCTGACATTTAATCCTAGTAAAAATTCCCTGTCTTAGGTCAGTTAGGATCACCACTTTATTTTAAGAATGTGAAATGTCAGACTAATAGTAGAGAGAATTATTTCTTTCAGCTTTTATTTCTTTCATCACATTCCCAGTGGGTCAGAAGTTTACATACACTCAATTAGTATTTGGTAGCATTGCTTTTAAATTGTTTAACTTGGGTACAACGTTTTGGGTAGCCTTCCACAAGCTTCCCACAATAAGTTGGGTGAATTTCGGCCCATTCCTCCTGACAGAGCTGGTGTAACTGAGTCAGGTTTGTAGGCCTCCTTGCTCGCACACACTTTTTCAGTTCTGCCCACACGTTTTCTATACCTTGACTTTGTTGTCCTTAAGCCATTTTGCCACAACTTTGGAAGTATGCTTGGCGTCATTGTCCATTTAGAAGACCCATTTGCGACTAAGCTTTAACTTCCTGACTGATGTCTTGAGATGTTGCTTCAATATATCCACATACTTTTCCTTCCTCATGATGCCATTTATTTTGTGAAGTGCACCAGTCCCTCCTGCAGCAAAGCACCCCCACAGCATGATGCTGCCACCCCCGTGCTTCACGGTTGGGATGGTGTTCTTCGGCTTGCAAGCGTTCCCCTTTTTCCTTCAAACATAACGATGGTCATTATGGCCAAACAGTTCTATTTTTGTTTCATCAGACCAGAGGACATTTCTCCAAAAAGTACGATATTTGTCCCCATGTGGAGTTGCAAACCGTAGTCTGGCTTTTTTATGCCGGTTTTGGACAGTGGCTTCTTCCTTGCTGAGCGGCCTTTCAGGTTATGTTGATATAGGACTTGTTTTACTGTGGACATAGATACTTTTGTACCTGTTTCCTCCAGCATCTTCACAAGGTCCTTTGCTGTTGTTCTGGGATTGATTTGCACTTTTCGCACCAAAGTACGTTAATCTCTAGGAGACAGAACGGGTCTCCTTCCTGAACGGTATGACGGCTGCATGGTCCCATGGTGTTTATACTTGCGTACTATTGTTTGTACAGATGAATGTGGTACCTTCAGGCATTTGGAAATTGCTCCCAAGGATGAACCAGACTTGTGGAGGTCTACAATTTTTTTTTCTGAGGTCTTGGCTGATTTCTTTGGATTTTCCAATGATGTCAAGCAAAGAGGCACTGAGTTTGAAGGTAGGCCTTGAAATACATCCACAGGTACACCTCCAATTGACTGAAATGATGTCAATTAGCCTATCAGAAGCTTCTAAAGCCATGACATCTTTTTCTGGAATTTTCCAAGCTGTTTAAAGGCACAGTCAACTTAGTGTATGTAAACTTCTGACCCACTGGAATTGTGATACAGTGAATTATAAGTGAAATAATCTGTCTGTAAACAATTGTTGGAAAAATTACTTGTGTCATGCACAAAGTAGAAGTCCTAACCGACTTGCCAAAACTATAGTTTGTTAACCAGAAATTTGTGGAATGGTTGAAAAACAAGTTTTAATGACTCCAACCTAAGTGTATGTAAACTTCCGACTTCAACTGTACCTATCAGCAGTGGGTGTGGCTGAAAGAACCGAATCCTCTAATTTGAAGGGATGTCCACATACTTTTGGCCGTGTAATGTATAAATCCACTCACAGCTTTCTAAGTCCAGCATACACTCCTGCTCATCCATGGGGTACTTGGTCAGATCCATGTCACACGCCACAGTCGAGGTGATCCTGAGAGGAGAACAAGTAATTTAGTAAACACCCACGTCAACCACAATGGTAACTTGACACGTAACAGTAGGTTAAACGTCATTTTCACTTTGACATTATCATTAGGCATTATATAGCCTTAACTTCAGGCCACAGCAAGTCGTTAAGGGGCCTCTCCAACCATCACGCCATTTTCTTCTCTCCCTCCTCCCCATGCCTTCCATCTCTCCTACCCCTTTCATCCTTCTCCTCCTCCTTCTCTCCTACTCGATCTATGCTCCTACCCCTCACACATTATCTTCACCCCCTCTCTCCCTCCTTTTATCTCTCTTAACCCTCTCCCCCTTCCCCTCTCCATCATCCCCCTCCTCCACCCTCTCCCCCCTACTCCTCTCCGCCCTACCCTCTACTCCTCTCCCCCTCCTCCCCCCTACCCCCTACTCCTCTCCGCCCTACACCCTACTCTTCTCCCCCTGCTCCCCCTCTCCCCCTTAGCCCCTCTCCCCCCTACCCCCTACTCTTCTCCCCCCTCCTCCTAGTCCTCTCCCCCCTCCTCCCTCTGCCCTTCTCACCGGCTGCTGTAAAGGATGACCCCATCGGGCTGCAGGCGAATCAGCTTGTTCTCCACAGTGACGTCGTGGAACCAGGCGGACTTGGCGTTGACAATGAAGGTGTCGGGCAGCCAGAGTTTATCCACGAAGCGGCTGTCCAGCCCCAGGGTCTTGTTGGTGTGGTTGTAGGACAGGCGGTCGTCCCGCCAGCTCTGCCGCAGGAAAATGGTCATGGTGTACTCCTGCCAAGCGGTCACACACGGTAACACACGGTAACACACAGTAACATACGGTAACACATGGTAACACAAGAACAAGCATAAGCATACGCATACGCACAGGCAAATGCACACACAGACACAGACAGACAGACACACACACACACACACACACACACACACACACACACACACAGGCACAAAGCTGAGCCCAGGGCATTTCCAACACTGGTGTGAGAGAGTGGTGGATCACGTTGTGACTTACTGATCTGAACGGTATTAGATAAAATAAATATAGGTTACAATACTATTGTTTTTCACCAATCCAACCTGGTTGGATCTGTTGAATACATCAAGGGAGGAAGGAAGGATGCATTTCATAACAATTGGAACAGGGCCATGCATGCTCTTACTGAAAAAGGCATGGTATCATTAACTTTTTAGAATCCCTATTGGCTGATGTGGATGACGCATAAGTGATAGTTTTCACATTGAATTTTACTGGAACAGTACAATAGCAGTGAAATATGGCAACCATTATGTACAAAGGCCTGCAGGTGAATGTATACATTACCATGTTGGCTTCAGAGATGTGGTCAATACTGGCTACTTCAATAGCCATGGCAACATTCACGGGTGGGCCTGTGGGAAAATAAATGAGAAAAGAAAACAATCCCTCCTTCCCTCTCTCCCTCCATCCATCCCTTCCCTCCTTCTCAAGGACATCCCTAGATATGGATCAAGAGCCACTTCCCGACTTAACATTGCTCTAAGTGAAGTGACATGGTACTATGTACATTCATAAATATGACATTGGGGGTCTCATGAGCTTGTGCAGTGGTGTGTTTAGAAGCGCATACATAGCTAGCATGCTGTTGTAGTTTGCTCGATGATTAGCATAATTTGTGCTGCTGAGATCGTGGATACTTGAAGGAAATCTAGAGGGAGGGAGATCAGGATCACCGAAGCGGAACTGAAAGGATATTTATTCTGAACATTAAGGAATCATATATTACCATTCTCTGCCATTCAGTACTCATCCCATAACCATTTACGTCAAATTGTATTATATAGCCATTATCCTACCCACCATAGAGAGAGCAGTCATCAGCACTGACAAGTGGGAGGACAGTTAAAGTCAATGAAACTTACGTTGGAGGATGTTACAACTAACTGCAATCCATAATCCCTCAGCCTGTCACTAAAACCGAGCTCATTTTGACAAGTGGCCCTTAGTGATAGGCTCAGTGTTCAACTTATTTGTATAGATTCTAGATGCCTATCGTAGCACCACTTTCCTTCAAATTTGAAATGGTGAAGGGATGTGAGTTGAATAGACAGAGTAAGACATTTACATTTTACATTTTAGTCATTTAGCAGACGCTCTTATCCAGAGCGACTTACAGTTAGTGAGTGCATACATTTTCATACTGGCCCTCCGTGGGAAACGAACCCACAACCCTGGCGTTGCAAGCGCCATGCTCTATCAACTGAGCTACACGGGGCCCCACCAACTGATGTGTATGATTCTTCAATGGCCTTAGATAGCCCATCAGTTTGGCTTTACGGTAGCTGTCTTACCACTTAGATGATATCTGATGGAGATTTAACCTTATCTTCTCTTATTTCTATAAGGGGAAGTAATGAGGGACTACATAATTATTGAGCATAATGTTGCACTATAGGTATGTAAACGTGTTTGCTGTTGGCTGCAGTAGCCTTGTTGCTGGTTCACAAGGCCTGGCATGGTGGTGGTGGTGGTTCTTATATCGACAATGCTTTTTCACCTCTGCTGAGCTGAGTTAAGCTGTGAGGTTGAGAAATCTAACGCTGTGGACATTGGATATTTCACATTTGGCAAGCATTCTTAGCAAAGGCATTCTCCAGCAATGCTCCTTTCTTTTATTTAGCAATATTACGCACGTCTTTCATTTCCAAAGCATCATTTCAATCTCTTCCGCAAACTCATTCCAATGCTTAATTGCTTTTGGTTGTGATCTTTTGCATCACGTTCAAACACAAAAGCTTTTCATAGATTCAAAGCTCTTATTTACATATGGGTAAATATGTCTTTAAACTAGAATTTAAAAATAACTTAAAGCACTTTCTTGGGGACAGTGGAATCTAACAAGATTAATATAGCATGATGAATTTGAGAAGAGTCTAAAATCATGAGTCTGATTTTCAAAACACTTATACCCGGTTCCTGCTATGCTATGAATGGCTGTAAATGTGAGGGGGTGAAATGCAATCCAATGCCACAAGCAGTAGATCTCATACTCACCTCCTATCCCAGGGCGAAAATTTCGTGCATAGCCCTTCATTAACTCATCCAGATTAGGCAACCAGGATATTTGTATGTCTGAACCTACATAGTCCCCAATGTCACTCAGCTCGGCCCTATAGGGAACAAACACACCACACTTGAGTTCTCTGTGTCCACAGCACTGGAGAGGCCCAGAAGGAAGAAAGCTAGAGAGGCAAAGATAGTAGTAAACAGGATAAAGTTGCATTTTCATGTTGAACATAGCTTTGCGATCAAGATTGGTGGACATGCAATTTTTTAAATCCTTGGTGATATGGAAATAAAAACAATGTGTTTATTTACATGTAACCATAGAAGACCTGGTCAGAGATGTGAATTACTGTAGAAAAAAGCAAACATTTTTACACAGTGCCTATTATCCAGTATGGATTTTAGAATAATGGACAAAGCTATCTCACTCGAGAGATTCATATAAACCCTTGCATTTTGGAGCCGTACTCATAAGGCGTCTCAGAGCAGGAGTGCAGATCTAGGATCAGGTCCTATCTATGTAATGTATGTTATCTTATTCATTATGATATAAAAGGCTAAACGGATCCTAGATCAGCACTCCTACTCTTACCCTGATATTCTATGTGCTGCTTACTGACTAGACAAAGTGCACATATAAACGAACCACCAGGAGGCAGTGTTCTCTACTAAGATGGCTCACTGTGTGGACTGTTGGGACTGATGGACTAATGAGACACGGGGCCAAGACAATCTCACTCTGACTGATCAAATTGTGTATTCAGTGGCATGAGATGTTTAAAAAAAGGCAAACAGCCTGTCTAAGTTCCAATATCCACACTAACATACCACATTAAGGACTTCTTTAGAGTGCATATCCAATACGTTTCTTCATTAGGGGTTCAAGCACCGAAGCTGCGAGAAACCCTACAGATGTAGGATCTTAATTTGAGCCAGTTTGAATTTTGCTACTCCTGTGGCACCAAGATCTCTCAACGCAATATTTTCCAAGGTAGTACATACAGTGTGGGAAAAAAGTATTTGATCCCCTGCTGATTTTGTACGTTTGCCCACTGACAAAGAAATGATCAGTCTATAATTTTAACGGTAGGTTTATTTGAACAGTGAGAGACAGAATAACAACAAAAAAATCCAGAAAAACGCATGTCCAAAATGTTATAAATTGATTTGCATTTTAATGAGGGAAATAAGTATTTGACCCCCTCTCAATCAGAAAGATTTCTGGATCCCAGGTGTCTTTTATACAGGTAACGAGCTGAGATTAGGAGCACACTCTTAAAGGGAGTGCTCCTAATCTCAGCTTGTTACCTGTATAAAATACATCTGTCCACAGAAGCAATCAATCAATCAGATTCCAAACTCTCCACCATGGCCAAGACCAAAGAGCTCTCCAAGGATGTCAGGGACAAGATGGAGACCTACACAAGGCTGGAATGGACTACAATACCATCGCCAAGCAGCTTGGTGAGAAGGTGACAACAGTTGGTGCGATTATTCGCAACTGGAAGAAACACAAAATAACTGTCAATCTCCCTCGGCCTGGGGCTCCATGCAAGTTCTCACCTCGTGGAGTTGCAATGATCATGAGAACGGTGAGGAATCAGCCCAGAACTACACGGGAGGATCTTGTCAATGATCTCAAGGCAGCTGGGACCATAGTCACCAAGAAAACAATTGGTAACACACTACGCCGTGAAGGGCTGAAATCCTGCAGCGCCCGCAAGGTCCCCCTGCTCAAGAAAGCACATATACATGGCCGTCTGAAGTTTGCCAATGAACATCTGAATGATTCAGAGGAGAACTGGGTGAAAGTGTTGTGGTCAGATGAGACCAAAATTGAGCTCTTTGGCATCAACTCAACTCGCCGTGTTTGGAGGAGGAGGAATGCTGCCTATGACCCCAAGAACACCATCCCCACCGTCAAACATGGAGGTGGAAACATTATGCTTTGGGGGTGTTTTTCTGCTAAGGGGACAGGACAATTTCACCGTATCAAAGGGACGATGGACGGGGCCATGTACCGTCAAATCTTGGGTGAGAACCTCCTTCCCTCAGCCAGGGCATTGAAAATGGGTTGTGGATGGGTATTCCAGCATGACAATGACTCAAAACACACGGCCAAGGCAACAAAGGACTGGCTCAAGAAGAAGCACATTAAGGTCCTGGAGTGGCCTAGCCAGTCTCCAGACCTTAATCCCATAGAAAATCTGTGGAGGGAGCTGAAGGTTCGAGTTGCCAAACATCAGCCTCGAAACCTTAATGACTTGGAGAAGATCTGCAAAGAGGAGTGGGACAAAATCCCTCCTGAGATGTGTGCAAACCTGGTGGCCAACTACAAGAAACATCTGATCTCTGTGATTGCCAACAAGGGCTTTGCCACCCAGTACTAAGTCATGTTTTGCAGAGGGGTCAAATACTTATTTCCCTCATTAAAATGCAAATCAATTCATAACATTTTTGACATGCGTTTTTCTGGATTTTTTTGTTGTTATTCTGTCTCTCACTGTTCAAATAAACCTACCATTAAAATTATAGACTGATCATTTCTTTGTCAGTGGGCAAATGTACAAAATCAGCAGGGGATCAAATACTTTTTTCACTCACTGTATTGAAGCAACATCTCAAGACATCAGTCAGGAAGTTAAAGCTTGGTCGCAAATGGGTCTTCCAAATGGACAATGACCCCAAGCATACTTCCAAAGTTGTGGCAAAATGGCTTAAGGACAACAAAGTCAAGGTATTGGAGTAGCCATCACAAAGCCCTGACCTCAATCCTATAGAAAATGTGTGGGCAGAACTGAAAAGCGTGTGCGAGCAAGGAGACCTACAAACCTGACTCAGTTACACCAGCTCTGTCAGGAGGAATAGGCCAAAATTCACCCAACTTATTGTGGGAAGCTTGTGGAAGGCTACCCGAAACGTTTGACCCAAGTTAAACAATTTAAAGGCAATGCTACCAAATACTAATTGAGTGTATGTAAACTTCTGACCCACTGGGAATGTGATGAAAGGAATAAAAGCTGAAAGAAATCATTCTCTCTACTATTATTCTGACATTTCACATTCTTAAGATAAAGTGGTGATCCTAACTGACCTAAAACAGGCAATGTTTACTAGGATTAAATGTTAGGAATTGTGAAAAACTGAGTTTAAATGTATTTGGCTAAGGTGTATGTAAACTTCCGACTTCAACTGTATATTTCCAACTGGTATGCTATAGATATTGGAATATCCCAGAGGTGCCTCCATTTGTGGCCTCCCTCTTCGGCAACTAGGTGTTCTAACTTAATAACCTAACTGATAAAGAGATGGGACCTGTTTAAAGCGGTAGTGGCTAATAGCTACATACTGACTTGCTGTTGTTGGTCTACCTATAGTAACTCCAGTGCATTGTATAGCACCACACAACAGGATACACATTATGACCACAGTAAAGGAAATGTGATGTCATAAAATGCTAATGAGGCAGAGCATTTAATTGATCTCGAGGGTGTTTCTGTAAACATGCTAGGCCTGCTCTCACTCCTCCAATCTTTGTTATAACAGTTCAAAGTCAAATTTCCGCTGATGTTGTTCCTCTTAGTCTTTTATTTCGGTTCATTAACAGGATCTCCAGAGGCCCTGTTTCGCTAACCATCTGTTTACGAGCTAACACACTGGGTATGTCCAAAATGGCACCTATATATTACACTACTTTTTGACATGGTCTGCGCACTATAAAGGGAACAGGGAGCCATTTCAGACACATTCACTGAGAGCTGAGGTGAAGGAGATTAAACACAAAATGAGCAGCCTTTCTTCCCACAGATAAAATACATTTAAAAAAGCCTTGTAATGTAGCCCCAGCTCTAACAAGTGTAATTAGCTTCATATAATGACATCAATTTGTACCTGAGAACAGAGAAGAGAACCGCACTAGCAGTAGTCATCCTTGCGTTGGCCTATATTGTTAATGTTGTAAATCCTGATTGTGACAGCACATAATGCTAGCTAATTAAATCTGCAGCCTTTTAAATGCCAATCAGTAGAGAATGAAATGGTGGCATTGCACAGATATGGCACATACAAGATCTGTCATTCCCAACCTTGATTAGCCTAATTAATTCCCTACAGCCTCTCTAACGTAAAAGCTCTCTCTGCACACTGTGGCCTTTCCACCACAAACCCAATGTAGTGTAACTGTGCTTTGTTCCACTGCTGGTCCCGCAGTCATTTGGCTAGAGCATATCTGGACCCCTCAGCAATAGCATCTGCCTGATATGCACATATGGAGCATGCATTAAGGACATACTAAAGGCATCTAGCCTATGGGGCCACCCATGTCTTCCAGTAGGGCACAAGAGACTGCCAAGAGAAGGCAAATGGTCACTGACTATGCCACTGCTACCCCACTAAGCCAACAAGAATAAATGCAACCTTACATTGTAATATTTGTGATCTTTTTATTTGAACAGCTTTCAACTTCGCATCTCTACTTCCAATAGTACTGCAACAACCATTTGTTTTCCTTTAAATGCAGATATTTTCTAAAAGGCCTAGGCTAGCTTTGTTACTAAACCCATAGTAGGCCTCATGTGGGTAAAATAAACTGCTCTACAGGACACACATTATATGAAAACTAAATCATAAATCGTAATATTTTGAAACAACAAAAATGTCTCCAAAATAAATGTGAGGTCACGTTGCAGTGAAAATTGTCTGCTATTTCAAAATCTGCCCTCCTTAGACTGAAGAGGATTTATCCAGTAAGTGGCTTACTTCTAAGGATTATCACCCTCAAGGCTATGGCGCATGTCACCTGGATCCAGATTTATTAACAGCTGTAACTCACACCAAAGGTAGTGAGATATTGTGCCAGTCCGATTCTGGCTTATTTACTTTTTTTACATGTCAAAACACAACGTCAAGTAGCAACACAATTAATAGTTTAGTAGGCCAGTGAAAGGAACGATAGAAAAGGAGGATGGATTAAGTAAAAGTGTAAAGCTATTTTCAAATAGTAATAAACTGACTGAGGAGAAATACTGTCAAATGTTTTGGTGATTTCTCTCAGAGCAGGGTAAATGACACTTGGATACAGTGAAAAGCATGTGAAATGCATACCGG